GAATTGCCCTGAAGTTTTCTAGTACTGGGTTGCTTTTATTAATCTTATTCTTACAAGACCTATAATAAAAAATCAGTCTTCAATGCACGTGGGACATGCATAGTCACCAGTTGGATGGGAACAGCTTAATTTAATGCTGAGACAGCACAATCCATCTCGCAGAGCCACCTGGCATGAACCAAACTACATATCTTATGAGACTGTAGCAAGTGCCTAAAGCCTGGAAGCCAGACTGATACAAGTTATTCCACCAGAGTATTTAGAAAGAGACCTCACCTAATGAAAATGCAAAGAAAACTTAAAAAAAAAAAAAGAGAGAGAGAGAAAGATTTTGGAGCCAAAGAGGAAGAATTCTTCATGATCACTGACTTTCAAGAATTTCAGTTCATCATCTAGGTAGGTCTTGACCTTTCCAGTAGATACTTTCAAGTTTTAATTCAATGTGCTTTCCCTACCTGTTTTTCTTTTTACCAAAATCAAGTAAAAATCCAACCAGAAGACATGTGCTTCTGAAATGTCTTTTCCTGAAGCAGTAGAATTCAACCATTTCTACTTCACATTGAGGTACTAAAAATTAATGAAAACATGCGCTTCCTATAATAAACCTGGACACCTCATTTTCATAATGAATAGTGGGTAATTTCCATTTGATTTCCTCTTTACTGCCTATAGAAATAAGTGTTATAAAACTATATTTCCTAAGTATTTACCTATCTTTTGAACATATGGTGATTGCTATCTCTGAAACACCATACACTTTTCTCCATTCAAACTGATTTTCTCCTTCCGCCAACGAAATACATCACACATCATGAGTGACAGTCGGTCTGTGACAAATGCTGCCTCCCAACTGCATTGCTGCCCTTTTACCAGCCAGGTCCTCTCAAGCAGGGGGGCCATCCCCAAGCTCCAGCGTCCTTATCTGCAAATCCCAAGTCATCATGACAAGCAAGAGATATGATCCCTATTAAGTTCTCGTACTCAGAAAATACTTAATAAATGTCAGCTTAAAACATAAACCCGAAAACACGTCCTCTGGACCCACTGCACACTTGAGATCCAGGGGAGAACAGGAGAGCCCCGTTAGGACCGGCAGCGAGGACCCGCACCTCCAGCTAGGTCTTTGCTAACTAACGGGCCTGCCTACCAGGAATGCCAGCATCACCCAGGAGCGGGTCGGGAATGCAAACTCTCCAGCCTCACTTCAGAACCACTGAATTGTAATTTTCATGTTTAACAGAATCCCCAAATGATTCATTTTCCCATTAAAATTTAAGAAGCACAGAGCTAAGCCCGTTGGACAAAAATTCAGGTCTCAGCAACATGACAAGCATATGTCATGGACAATTGGTGCCACCCACCAACTGCTAAAGTAGCTCATGTTATATCTGTATGTTATCTATTATGCTATGTGGACTTAAAATTCTTTTCTGAGTTGCTGAATTTGTTACACAAGTATTTTTAAGACGTGTCTTTACAACTTGAAATAATATCTATAGGGAGGACCATTCTTAAATCAGCAAGCCCAGAATTATTTTAAATTAACAGTGTAACTAAAGCATGAAACAGACAAGAAACCCCAAATCTGAACCTCCAATCCTAAAACCCTGGGGTGACCGTGTGGCTTAAACTCCAACCCTAGAGAGCGGGCAGCCAGTGTCCAAGTAGGAGCAACATGTCAGCAGCTGGGTGACAAGGTGTGACCAGGACCGGCTGCCACCGAGCAGTGGGGCCCAGGCCAGGGCCCTGGGGTGTGGTGCGGGTGAACCCACAGGAGCGGCCCTGGAGCGCAGTGCCGCCCAGATGCAAGGACATTCTACGGGCTTCACCCTCCCCAGCTGGGTGCAGCTCCCTTCTTATCACCACCAACTCTGGGAACGATTTCTTAGAGCAATGTCACGTGGATTTGTTACAGTTAGATTTCATGTGTATTTCTGACCCTTAGTTGTGAGATGGGGCCAGCTTTTGCATAAAAGGAAATGTGCCTGAATCTCAGTCTCTCACAGCCATCTCTAAGGAATTCCTTTCTGCGCCCTCCTCACACGTTAGTCCTGTATCATTGTGTTTTCTCCGTCTCATTTTCAGTCTCTGCCAATTCTATACAGTCTGTAAATACACACCAGAGAACGCGGTCCGGTACAGCATTCAAGGCATGGGGTGGCTGGGGAGGGGGTGAGGCAGTGAGCTGCTGCTGGGGACGGTAGGTGCTGGGCCTTTATTCTTCCAGGGACATGAAAATGGTGTCTGTCTGCCTTTCTTACCAACATGGTCTTCCAGCCACTACTCTCTACGTAATTGCCAACATCTACTTCTGAGATGCTTTAAATTGCAGAGATCTTATTTCTGCCTATTTTGATTTCAAAATACCATTTTGCGTGATCTCGATTGAGAAGAAAATGAGCTCATTGTTGAAACAATTAGCTACAACACTATAGATAAGAAGCTGCATTTTCTGCCTGAGATAAGCATGTTTCTTCTCTCTTAAGTCTCACATGATCTCGGGTGGGCTCTTCTGCTTTGGTATAAATCTGAAATTCTCTCATCGTTTCAAAGCCTTACACTGCTAAGGACGACCAGCCTTCTGATCACCTCAGGAGTGCCGCTTTTAGTCTCCTAGAATTGTGCCAGACAGTTTGATTTAATTATTATTACAGACAGATCTGCATAAAGCTGTCTTCTGGTGAGTTTTAGGCCACTTAGGCAATGTCATTGGATGGGCAGAGAAATTCTTTTGAGAAAATGTAATGGAGCATGAAAAATAATAAAATCCACAAAACACATTTATTCAAGAATCTTAATAATGAAATTACAATTCAGAGTGAAGAACTAGAGGCTGAGTACTATTATTCTAGAGTAAAACATGATTTAATAGGCAGAGCGTAATGCCAAGAATCCGAGGACAGTATGCCGTGTTATGTTTTCTGAAAAACCACTTCCACTTCAAAAAAAATTCAATATAGTCTTATGCCATCTATGGAATTTACTGAAGGTGCAGAACAGCAATTAATTTGAACAACAATTCCCTATGAGCTCAGTAGACAACTGTTTGTGGTAAACGACAGAGTCCAGGTTTCCGCAGACTCCCTCTCATTAAAGGATCTCCCATGAACTGATAGTCCTAAAACTTCCTTGGGACAAAAGCCCCCTGATGCCCTTTTCAAAGACCTCATGAAACAGGAAAGTGTTGGTTTCCCCCAGTACTGCCCCCTGGCGCTCCTCACTAAAGGAGAAAAGCACCCCAAAGCAGCTCTCTGTAGGGTGATGTGGCAACATCTAAGTGACATCGTCTTTGACCCAGCAGTTCCACCACCATCAGCAATTCTCCCCACAAAGCCATAAAACGCTGCCCCACAAGGACACATGAAGGACAGCCTCAACGCTGCTCTTTCGGAGAACTGCACAGATGGGAAGCAAGCAACACAGCCTTTGAGAGGGAAGAAGAAACGTGTAACAGAGTACGACACGCCTGTGCCTGGGAGTGAGCTGACCCAGGAACACTGCCAGGATAAAAGTCCTAGAAACTTACGATCTAATTTACTGTGTGGAAAGCCTACGATGTTTGCAGACCCAATGAAAATCTTCTGGGAGGACACAGGTCCAGACGCTTCTGGGAGAAGAAGGGAGCTCTTTATGTTTTATTCTATATCATTGTGAATGGATTGAACATTTACTGTATGTATGCATTATTTAAGATGCTGTACTACAATTAGGAAGGAATAATGATTGTGTCAAACAACTCACACCCCGCTGGACTGTGGAGTGGGGAGCACGGCGGCTGAACCCTCGGGACATCGTCTGACCCCTGGTGCTGTGCGGCCTTTTCCTGGGGGCCCAGCTACGCCACCAGCTGACTAATGAACAGTAAATATTTTATTTTTCTACAGATCATGAAAATGTACCATGTGGTGTCTCATTAGTCATTAACCTGAAGGCTGTACTATTAGTTATTCCTGCTTATTCATATCTTGTCAGTTCAGTATTTTTTTTCACTGATTTGACACTTAACAGTTTTTATAATATTTAAAAAGTTAGGAGGCTAAATGTCATTTCTAGTTTATGAAGAAAACAATACAAAATGAATGAGAGTGTTTGGGAAGCCTATAGGATTATCTTGATGAACTCTCTCTTCAATAAAACTTAGCTGATTTGTCTTTAGTGAAAATACCTCTTACATGTACAAATGGACTTATCTTGGCCATTTTTTCACACACACCTACACAATTGGAAAAATACCTAATTCAGTGATTTGTCCAATATGACAGGGAGCCGGGAAGCGACGGAGCAGCAGGTACACCTAAACGCCCCGGGAACTCAGCCCGCACCCGCGCCCACTCCCCTCCCCAGGTCCTCGGGCACACGCACGCTTGCACTGCGATTACCTCACCATCTGCGCGCTGCACACTTTACCACCAGTTTTCATGTTATTATTCCTTTGTACAAAAATAGCTGTATTTTGAACGCCCTCTTAAGGACTGAAGGGCAGCGCTGTCCAGTAGCACAGCGGCAGCATTCCCTGGCCTCGGGTGAGCGCCTCACGGCGCAGCCCCCGCGCCCCTGTGTGACCCACGGGCCCGCGCCGTCCCCAGCGGCCGGTTGGGTGCACAGCCGGGCTCATGTGGTTTGGGACGGGAGGGCTGGTGTGCATTCGCTGGTGAAGACAGACTGTGCCAGGATTTCCATGGTCACTGGCTGCCTGGGCAGCATTTTTAACGTATTTCGGAGGTATTTGTATCAATATGAGAGAAATGCCTTCCACAAAGTGTCTCACATATTTTCACACAAAAGTTATTACACAGAATAGATTCCTCCAAAACATTGCCTCCTGCTAAAATACGAGTGTACCATTTCTAAATGGATAAATACAGAAGATATTTTTCACATTTCCATCATTTCTAAAGGCTACTTCATTTGCCCAGATTAAACCAACGATAGGTGAATGGTTATTAATACAAAGCTTTACTTTTGCCAGAAAGAAAGCGTTCGTCCTAAGTCACACTCACGTTTGCATTCTTTACAGCACTGGCCATGCACGTAGGCAAGGGCCGACCTCGGGGGACACGCGGGCATCGGGCAGACCAGAGGGTCGCACTGGATGGTCCCATTCTGAGAAGAAAGGGTATTTAGACAGTTACCTAGGTGCAGTGTGAGAGTCTTCAAGCATTTTTAATCTGTTCCTTAGGTTTCAAACTCGTCACATAAAATGTCACAAATACCACAATTATCTTTGGTTACTATTCAGGAAAGCCCATAATGCAGAGACCACAGTAACACAAATGGGGCCATAACACAGCTGGTGACTGGCTCCTATCTTCTGACCAGCGACGGATCCCCAGTAAGCTAGACTTCTCCCATCCTGAGGGGAGGGCCGGGCGTCCGCTGAGGGAACAGCAGGCCGAGGGCACTCGTGTCTCCCCAGGTTGCTCCCAAAATGAGTGCCCAGAGACCAGGAGACTCTGGAACAGCTGCTGCCATCCTGGAGGCCAGTGTTAAGACTCAGAACCTTCCCCAGATACTTAGGCCGGGACAGGCCACCTCCACAAGGTGGGGATGGCAATCCCCACTAACCTGCAAATTGGACAGCAGGGAACTGCCTCCCGACGGTGCCCAGGGCGCCCAGTTGCCAGCTGCTCTTCCAGTTGCCTCACTGACCTCACTATACCACAGCTCGTCTTTCACTCAGTTCAATTCCTGGTCCCCATTTAACAAGTTGGGAAGCCTGGACTGTATTTTCAAAGTGCTACAATTTCACAAGGAACATAATCTGTTCCTGTAGAAATCATACAATGCACACATGCGAGTGCACACGCGTGATTATTCCAGAGCCCTTTGCCTTTTCACACACGTGAGAATCTGCTTTTGAATTAACTTGATGAATTTGGGAATTTCTTCTTCAAGTCTAATTCACATGGACCTCTGACTTCTTCCCAATAGAGTTTTAACAGAATTCATGTGGAATTTAAATGTTCAAAACCAAACTAGTTTTGAACTCCTTATGAAGGAATATGTTCTTGAAGTAATAATGCACTAAATACTCTACATATTTATTTAAACTCTATAGCTTGTATTCTACTATATTAATAAACTGGTAAAGATTATTTTATTTATTTAAACTGCATTATCTGTTTATATGGTTCAATCTGGTCACAGTATTTCTTGCTGCATAAAATTAAGTTGTATTAAAATGCAGTAATAATAACCTGATGGGAAAATCCCTGGAAGTGTTCAGCGTAACAGGATAGAGCCCTTCGGGAATCGCCTTTGTAACCCCATTTAAATCACTAACTTCAAGTGTGTACCAGTCCACTTAAACTCCATAGCATTCCTGAACCATAATCATCTTTATAGGCTGGAAAGTGTCTTTAATAATGCAACACACAGTTCTTTAGATTTGAACGTTTTGCTGGCACTGTAGTGTTGTGTCTTAAGGAAATGGGTCTTGAAATTTTCATGATTATACTACTTTAATACATGCTTAAAGAGGGGGGCGTCTGAGCGCCCTCAGTGCAGAGGCAGCAGGGGCCGTACCACACACGTGCAGTTCTTGCAGCCGTCTGTCCAGGACTCGAACTCTCGGTAGGTGGCCCCCTTCCTGGTGCAGGTCCTTTCACAGTAGCACTGATCCAGTCTGTTCATCCGCTGTTCGGCCCGGGACAGCTAGGACACAGAGGAGGGGTTCACACTGCTTACCGTTCTAAACACCCCAGCAAGCATCTGAGCTTTGCGAGGTGTACAACTACTTGTTAGAGAAACATGTAAGCCTTCAACCAAAAAGGAAGGGGACATTTCCCCCTCCTCTTTGTGCAGTGAACTTGCTCCCTGCTGTTGGAAAAAAAAAAAGCATGATTTATAAAATATAAATGAAGGTGAAGTTGACATGGGGTCTCCTGCAAAGCACAGAAGCACTTCCCAGTTTTAAAACCATTTAATGACATGAACAGGTTTGCACAAGTGAAAGCACAAATTCTATAATTTATATTGTGTCAGAAACAATCACTGATATACAACACAACTTGCAGGTGATCAAAGACTCCTATGCAGGATGAAAACAGTCCAGTGAAATTGTGGGTAAACTAGACACATGCTCAAGACAGCGAATAACCCTACAAATGTGACAGTGGCAGAAGGCATGTGTGGCACCATTTCCTTGACATAAGTCCAGTGGCCACATTCTTTACAATGTCCTCTTGCCTCCTCCCTTGTGAAAAAGAACTAAGTAAGATTAAATAATAATAAAAAATAAACAAAACAATAAATTCTGCTGTAATAAGCAGTGTGCAAACCAGGTAACCAGCCTCATTCCTGATTTACTGATCCACCTGTCATACAAATAGCCAAGTTTGAATATTTATGAGCACTTCCCTTGAGCAGAGATTTAGATTGAATCTGAGCAAATAGATAGGATAATAAGTCTCAAAGGGGAACACTTGTGGTCACAAAAGGAACTATAAGGAACCTCCAGGGTTTTTGAGCTCCCGGACACTGTTAAGCAGGGTTTACCTTGGCAGATGTTTTGGCTAAAATGTCCTGCAGCTCCATGATTTTTTGCACAAGTCCATGGAAGTCATTGCACGTTGGACAGGCTGGAATTACAAACATTACATCGGTCAAGTTGTATTGATAAGGGGCTCAGTCTGGTTAAGTCTATGCTGACAACTAAGGTATGGGAACTTCCATTTCAAACTGACACTCTGGACAAAATGAGGCAAGAAGCACACTTTTCACCATACAGAGGAAAGAGCCGACAGACTTACTGCGATTGAGGTCTGGGCACTGAGCGATGAATCCTTGAGGCATGACAAGTAATTGCACATCTTGCATTACACCCTGTGGGTGAAAAAAAATTTTAAAGATGTATTACTCCCATAATTTCATACCCAAACTGTGTTCAACAGTCCAGATTATGAAGGAAAACATTACAGGATAGACTCACCAGACTCCCTGAATAAAACTGTTTTGAGTGCATTCCTTCTATCTCAAACCAAAGGAGAGGAAATACATCCAGCACAATAGATGATCCCCCATATACTCCACTATTGGTGATATTTTTAAAGCCTTAAGATTAAATGTCAAGATATAATTAAAAGGCAATAGTCATGCTGTTTTGAGAAGTTATTTTTAGCTAGCCACTGAAAAGAGGCTTGAAAATGATCTTTATAAAAATCAACCTGAAAATCACTTCTGGTTTCAGCAACAGTGGAACTGATACCAATTTGAAATTAGCTACAACCATCAAAAAAAAAAGGATAGAAAAACTGAGTGGATACAGGGAAAAGGATAGAAAGATGCTAATTTGAGCATTTCTCATTTTCATGTTGGCCCTTTTAAAACTAATTTCAAGATTTAAAAAGAACAATAGATTTATAAGACAGCCGCAGCAAGACTTCGTGACAAGTCCTTAGGAGCACAGCAAGTTCAGCACAGAACTTTCAAAATGCCAGCTGTAAATGACCCATTTTACACAGAGGGCCACATCACATGCTGGTAGGCAAAATTTACATGCATCCTTAGTTACTAAGGCATAATTAGCTTGCAGCTTATGGGGCTCTTAAAGCAAAGGCCAAATGGTAGCTCAGAAATGACCACCTCAGACACACTCCAGCTGTCCTTTGATCTGCCATCCCCCTCTCTTCCTTCATCAGCTTTATATATTTTATTTCATTAATATTTCACTTTATCCCTTTGAGAAATGCAAACAGAATGTCTAATGGCAGGGTGACAGTACCTACATACAATACTATCAAGACAATTTTGAATGTACCTGCAGAGATACACCAGCCCAAAACTAGCCTACAGCTTCTGCGTGTGTGGGCTGCAGTGTGCAGTGTGACATCCCAGCGTACTGCGCGGCAACTGCCGGGTCTGTGGTGTGCTTGGGGTTTGGGTTAAGGGCGCAACTGCTATCCAAACTCCTATCCCTTTGCTACATGAAAATGAAGCTGCCACATCGCCATATAGTTTGTGCCCTGCACAACTCACAAAAATTATGACCCATCAAGGAGCGCACATAACTAATGTGTGAGACGAATTCTGAGGTCACATCTGGGCTCCACAGGAAAGACTGCCATGATTAAACTGAGGACAGGCTCAACACCCACAGCACAGATGTGCCACCCACTATGTGGGAAAAGAGCACAGGTTTTTTCAGGATTCACAAGCATGGGCTCAGTTCCCCATGACTGGCTCTGGGCTAGTCCCTAACCTCTCGGAGAGGTCTGTGCATATGCAAGACCCTGCCTCGGGGCGGCAAGGTGAGGATCCGCTGGAACGAGTCAGAGTACCTGGGTCCCAGGTAAGACAGTTAAAATGTAAGTTTTAAAAACACCTTCCTAGGATTACAAACCTTGCCCAGAACACAACCGAGAAATTGTGAGCTGGACACACCACCTGCCTCCTTTCATTGAATAACCATCCATGAGCCAGTTCTGTGTTACAGGCACTGTCGTGGTCACTGGGGTAAGTGATTCAGTACAGGCTTGCAGGCAGATGGTTTTCTGGACTTTATTCCTTCATCCTTCAAATGCAGAAAGTTAAATGGGATGTCTCTCAGATCCTCTACAGTGATGCACTTGTATGGAGTATGTCCCTAAATAGACACTAAAGAAAAAGATATAAATGATGACTGCTTCCTAGTCCTGAGGGGCCTGTGCCTGTGTCCATGCTCCTTTCTCCCTTTCTGGAGTGCAAGGAGACTCTGAATCATGAATATTGAAAAGTGTTCCATCCTCTCTTACTAAATCCCTGTACAAGTATCACCAAAGGTTGTTCAGTGGTGGAGAGTTTACTGGTATATAAACATATTAGGTTTTGACGGTAAGAACAATATGCTAACTGCCATGCTGGCAGCTTTGTGACCATCTCTGCAACGTCTGACAATCAAGCCCGTTTAGGAAAAAGGAAAAAATAATGTTGGTCCACCAGTAAGACACAAGCCTAAAAAAACAATAAATAGACATAAACAGAAAAAAAACTATACAAATCATTTCATTTCACAACATAAAAAGAAAAAGGTACTTTTCCACACTCATGAGAGAGCATTTATTATACTTTACACTCAGACTTTAGCCAAAACATACCTTAAAATAGCCATGTGCGCTATTTCTCTGCCCGAGCCAAAATGTCGTGCCTACAGGCAGGTCTGTGGAGGGCTTTTCTACCACTCTTTCATATACCCTGCCAAAGAGAGGCGTCGGGTAAGTCATGCGGGGCAAGACAGTCACCTCTCAGAACCCCCATTCCCGGAACTGAGAACACTTGGCCTACTTATTGCAGTCGACGTGCAGAATCAGATGGGAGGCGCTGACGGCTAAGGAGAGCTTGTGCCACCTGCCATCCGCCAGGATGTACGGGAACACCTCCGTGTGCGGGTGCCGGCGGCCCGAGCGGTAGTGCAGCCGGACCTCGTTCCGGTGGCCGCTGCTCTCCAGCTCCAGGTACCTGCACGGAGAAGAGCCGCGTGGGGCCGCGGAGGGCGACGTTAGAACATCACCGACATGACTCTTGTCTCCAGAAAGAGGGAGTCGACATGCTTCCCGTTCCTCCCACCAAGTACGACTAGACATTATACGATAAAACGAACATAAGAAGAGTCTGAAAGACGCAGCGGAGAAAGACAATCAGCGAGGACCCCAAAGAGCAACACGGTGGGCGTTTCCTGGGGCCCTTCTTCTTCATGCATCCCAGACTCGGAGCTGAAGGGGCCAGCAGCCTGGAAATGCCGACTCAGAGAGACAAATAAAGTCCTAAGAGAAACCTACTCTCTCTATAACCGCAGAACCAGGAGAGGGACGCCTAGCAAGACACCAACGTTTAGCAAATAACCACAAAAAACCTATGTCCCTGTTCCTAACCGTACCAGCAAAGACTGAGTGGGGAGCCTAGATTTCCACTTCGAGGTAGAAATGAGGTCCCCAGCATCCCCACTGAGGTGGCGGAAGAGAAGGTGAAGTAGAGACACAAGACGTCTGGTCCTGCTGTCCGGTCAGGAGCCCCTGCCCCCAGCAAAGGCATCACCGGGGACCACGCGCCGCGGAGCCAGCCCTTCCACCCCATCTGGGCAGCAACAAAGCACAGCTGACGGGGTCGGGGGGGCCCGCTGGGGAGTCCTGGGAATCCTGATGGGCACAGCAAGGAGAGGAAGGAGGGAGGGGGACCGGTACCATGCCAGGGCGGCCACTGCACCCCAGGCAGCACTGGACAGGATGCTGCATCTTGCTTACTGCTCGTGGGCACCTCAGTTATGAGCTGTTCCAAACCTGGTGCCCCACTGCCCCCTCAGTTCTGTAAGCTGCCTTCCCACCCACCACCTCCAAAGCCACCTTACAACTGGGAACACCAACAGCACATTACAATGTGACCATGGGGAAAATGTACAAGCAGAATAAAAAAGGTTTTTGAAACATTTTTTAAAGTGACTGTTTAAGTGATAGAACTGAGTGATTTTTAACCTTTTATTGTCCTTTATTTTCCCTTTTGTGCTTGTGCCAGAGCCCCTTACTACCTGGGCTGGCAGCTCTCTCTGCAGGAGGGATTGATCTCCTGTTGTGCCTGTACCTTCTGTCTCCTGGTCTTTGTATTCTTCCACTTAAAAAAAAGGTATTCAAATTGCTTGTCACTCACAGAATTGTTGTAAGAGGTGGAGTTTGTAAGTGATGCCTGGTGGGATCATTGACGATGCTCATAGTTACCGTTTACTGAGGGCCGCTCTGATTCAGACACTGTGTGTCATGAGGCTCATCCTGAGCTCATCATGAGCATTTCCTACCTTAAATAAAAATCACATTTTAAAACCTATGAAGATAATTTTTCATACTTTCAAATATCACGTGTCCAAGATTTGTTATTCCTTATTTTGAGAGGTAACTGAAATCAAAAATAAAAGCTCACCACTTCTAATGATTTATGCCCTTGGTATTCAAAACTTCTTTGCATTGGCAGAAATATAAACTAATTTAAGATCAGGCTTCAGAGAAATAGGCAACAGTGACAGAATCTCATTCATTTTGACAACCTCCTTGGTGACTCGACTCAGGGTCAAAGGATAAAAATAAGGTCACGTCCCATCTGACAAAAAGGTCACACACAGCATGAAATGAGCATTTCTCAGGGGCCTGAAATAAATACTAACCCTAAATGAAGAACAATCTGATCACCTCTACAGATTTTCCTTGACTTACAGCAGGTTACACCCCAACAAACCCACTGTAAATCGAAAATACGGTTAAGTCAAAAATGCATTTAATACACGTCAGCTAAGGAACATCACAGCTCAGCCCAGTCCAGCTTGCACGTGTTCAGAACGCTCACCTGAGTGGGCACAGCCGTCTCACCGCAGCCTGTTTAATAACGAAGTACTGAATACCTCATGTAATGCATTGAATACTGGGCTGACAGTGAAAATCACGTGCAGAAAGGCTGGAGTTGCCTTGGCCGCGGGCCCTCGTGGTGGCCTGGCCACCTGGGAGCCGCGGGGCCGCCCCCACCCAGCATCACGAGGGAGGGTCTGACCGCACGTCACCGGCCCGGGAAGGGTCATGACTCAGAGCTCAAGGTACGGTTTCTACCAAATCCGTAGCACTTTCTCACCACTGTAAAGCCGAAAAATCTTAACTCAAACCACCGTAAGTTGGTGACCATCTGTACATTAAGGCACAAGACAGTTGTGAGCTGATCACCTGAAGGAAAGCTACACGCGCTTCAGCACCCAAAACGCCGTTGCTGTGGCTCCCGGGATGACAGCTGCAAGGGGGTGGCCAGCACTGGCCTCGGACCTGGAAACCAGCCCGTGCCCACTACCATCTTCCTCCTCTGCAGAATGAGGGTTCACAGGATGAGCCTCATGACACAGTGTCTGAATCAGAGCGGCCCTCAGTAAACGGTACTATGAGCATCGTCAAAGATCCCAACCAGGCATCACTTACAAACTCCACCTCTTACAGCAATTCTGTGAGTGACAAGCAATTTGAATACCTTTTTTTTAGTGGAAGAATACAAAGACCAGGAGACAGAAGGTACAGGCACAACAGGAGATCAATCCCTCCTGCAGAGAGAGCTGCCAGCCCAGGTAGTAAGGGGCTCTGGCACAAGCACAAGGTAAGAAAGTCCAGTGGGGGGAGGGGGGCAGGATACTGTGGGCGAGGCTGCGCTGCTTATTCGCTACAGACACTGGCTGTTCCCTCTGCCACTTCCATGACTCCCTCCACCACTGAGTGGGACGGGTGAGTGGGAAAAAAGCGTATTTCTGGCAACCCTCAGTAGAACCGGATTGATTCCACTTTTGTTAGTTTGCTTGCTTCTGATGGTATTCGGCCATCAAGGCAAGACAGAATAATGCCGTAATTCAAGAGCCTCAAGTCTTAACCCGTCTCCACAGTGACTGACTGCAATGACGGGCAGGTGAAGGATCTTCTCTAGGCCTCAGCTTCCTCCCCTATCAAACAGGGACAATGAGCTGTAGCCTTATAGGATCGTTCCAGGAATTAAACCAAATAGATTCAAGTGCTTACATTCCTCCTGGCAGAGAGAAATCACTCCACACACACCACGCTTATGATTTATATTTCCTATGACACATTTATGTATTTTAGTTAAGCCACCAAAGTTTCAGAACAGGCTTCAACCTAAACAAGCATGAATCTCAGACAAAAAAATACATATTTTAATGAGAAGCTACCCCAATAACGATGCTTAGAATCTATGACATTTCCATCAAGTGCTCATCCAGTTGTTTGAACACATCCGAAGACCAGCCATTCATGACATCTGACCAATCATTTCATTTTTTTGAAAACAAAGACCTTCCTTATATTCAAGTATATGGAGAAGAGGCTTTAAAAGGTACAATTTATTAGTTCATTTGTTCCAGCAAATATTTATGTGGGCACAGAAAATATAACAACAAACAAGCCCAAATAATACTGAAGCTCAGAGACCCTCAAAAATAAACACATCATTAACAAAAATTAAGTTTAGCCATTTCAATGCTCTTTTAAAAATCTTGGAGAATGTAGCCACATTGGTGGGGATAACAATGCTTCTTCGTTAATAATAAATCCAGGAGCCAAGATTGTATCACCAAGGGGAAGATCAGTAGCTAATGGAATGAATTCATGATTGAGGCCCTGGCATCCACAGGGTGGCCTGAACAACAACCCCTCCACCCTGTTACCTGTATAACTGAGTTTACAATAAAATGAAAGGGAAAAGTACCAGTCATGAAATGGAGGCAATTATTACTATTAATGATAAGGCCAGCAAGACACATGAATGCTGAGAAACACTTTGAGCTATGATCCTGGAGGGAAGATTTAGTGGCATTGTGTGTATTGCTAAAACGTCAGATTGAGAAAGGTCTTATGCAAGGATGGAGCAGGAACAAATATGATAAAGCCTTAACAGTGAGTGGGTGTCCCACAGCACCAGGTGCCATGATGATCAGGCTGAAATAAGCCACCGAACAGAGGGTGGTACTACCTAATGCCAGCTCCTCTCCTGCCCGGAGCTCACCTGGTTGTGCCTGAGACAAAGCAGGTGGAAATTAGAGAGACTGGTGTGAAAAAGTTCAAAGAAGCAGCAGCCTCAAAGATAAGCCTTCCCTATTTTATCAAACGTGGATGCAGAGCATACGTCATACAGTAAAGGAAGACGCTCTGGGGAACAGGGGCTCTGATGACCTGAAAATCATATACACAAGTGTGTAGAAAATTTGGCTTATGGTGTTCCTGGATTCACAAAGTCCATTCATGGACTCTTTTTTTGAAAACAAAGACCTTCCTTATATTCAAGTATATGGAGAAGAGGCTTTAAAAGGTACAATTTATTAGTTCATTTGTTCCAGCAAATATTTATGTGGGCACAGAAAATATAACAACAAACAAGCCCAAATAATACTGAAGCTCAGAGACCCTCAAAAATAAACACATCATTAACAAAAATTAAGTTTAGCCATTTCAATGCTCTTTTAAAAATCTTGGAGAATGTAGCCACATTGGTGGGGATAACAATGCTTCTTCGTTAATAATAAATCCAGGAGCCAAGATTGTATCACCAAGGGGAAGATCAGTAGCTAATGGAATGAATTCATGATTGAGGCCCTGGCATCCACAGGGTGGCCTGAACAACAACCCCTCCACCCTGTTACCTGTATAACTGAGTTTACAATAAAATGAAAGGGAAAAGTACCAGTCATGAAATGGAGGCAATTATTACTATTAATGATAAGGCCAGCAAGACACATGAATGCTGAGAAACACTTTGAGCTATGATCCTGGAGGGAAGATTTAGTGGCATTGTGTGTATTGCTAAAACGTCAGATTGAGAAAGGTCTTATGCAAGGATGGAGCAGGAACAAATATGATAAAGCCTTAACAGTGAGTGGGTGTCCCACAGCACCAGGTGCCATGATGATCAGGCTGAAATAAGCCACCGAACAGAGGGTG